TATGATGTTCTTGATGTCAACCCACAGCTCCTCTTGTCTTCGGTCACTAGTGTCTAATGCATCAAATTTGTTTTTGCAAATTGTTTCTAAATTCAGGTGGGGTACATTCAGGGACATTTTCTTCAGCTTCAGCCTAAACTTGCATATGAGCAATTGATGGTTTGTTTCAGTCAGCCCCTTATTTTGGCTCATGATACTTAGTTTCTCCATTGTCTCTTCCCACAAATGTAGTCATTTGATTCCTGTGTATTTCATCTGGTGAAGTCCATATGTGTGTATAGCTACATTTTATGTTGTTTAGGATAGGCATTTACAATTGAAAAACTCAACGATCTTTCAAAATTCTATCATGTGATCTCCACCATCATTTGTATCATCAAAGCCATATATTCCAATTACGGTTCCTTCCTCTTTGTTTCCAACTTTCACATTCCAATCACGAGTAATTATCAATGCATCTTGATTGCATGTTTGATCAATTTCAGACTGAAAAAGTTAGTAGAAATCTTTAATTGTATCATCATTTGTTTTAGTTTAGTGGTTGGTGCACAAATATGAATAATAGTGGTATTAGCTGGTCTTCTTTCTAGGCCTATGTATACTATTCTATCACAGAGAGAGGTGTATTTTTAGATAGATGCTGAAATGCTTTTTTTGATAATGACTACAATGCCATTCCTCTTAAATGTAGCATCCCCAGCATATCAAATCATAAGATTGTCTGATTCAAAGTGGCCAATACTAGTTCATTTCAACTTACTAATGGCGAGGATGTCAATCTTTATATGTTCCATTTAATTTTTGATACCTTCCAATTTTCCTACATGTGTATTTTGTACATTTCACATTCCAATTATTAATGATGTTAGCAGTTATTTCTTCTCATTTTGAGTTGTGCTTCATCAGCAAATGAAGGTCCTGAATAGTTTGCTCCATTCACATCATTGAGATCCATTTGAGGAGGCAGCTCTTTCCCAGTTGTATTGCCTTCCAACCGGAAGGGATAGTCTTCTGGCAATATAGCAGATAGTGTTCCACTGCAATTCATAAAGTTTTCAGCAGCTAACCATTCTGAAGTGGTCTGGTTCTCCTTTTTCCTAGTTTGTCTTAGTTTAGAAGCTCTGCTGAAACCTGAGCACCATGTATGACATTCCTGGTATTTACAATACCGTGGTACAGCTTCTGGCATCATAGTAACACACAAGTCATCATAGTAGAACGATTTGAGATGAATGAGGAAAAGATGACTATGCCTCCTGTTTGCTTCCAATATTGTAGGAGAAGTCAAGATGGCAGAATAGCATTACAATATTCAGTATGAAAACTTTCAGTTAATCTTCATTTTTAGTTCAGCATCACCATAAAAAAAAATTGCACATTGTCTCCTTTAGTCTGGAGATTCTGTGATTCTTGGCAGAAAAGAAACTTTCAACCATCTTTTGGAGGAATGATGTGTAACTAAATCTTCTCTTTTCATCCACACCTTTACCCTTCTAATTTCTACCAATTTCTGTGTGTTTGATGGGATCTGCAATGTAAATTAGGCTCTTTCTCAGCTTTTCTCAGTTTCAGTTTAGATTCAGCTTTCTCAGGTCTATTGTCAAAATTCACTAGACAGCCAGCTTTTAAAACTTGGTTGCCATTTTAGAGGTCATTGTTCCGGTTCTTTTTGTCCATGAAAGCGAACGATTTTTCAAAAGTCCCTTTACAATCAGTAAAATTTGGGGAAAGGATAAAACTAAGTTAATGTATTAAGTCCTCTATGTACTTGAATCCCCATGTACTTAGTCTATGAAGTCTTACATTAAAAACAAGAAGTACTAGATATAGTTTGATAAATAAAACAAGTTATACTTGTGAATTTCTTTCTTAAAATACCTCATTTGAAAGTTTCAGTTAGCTTGAAAGTTATAGCTCTGAAATGGTTTCTGATAATCTCTGGTGGTTTATAAATAACTTTGCAATCTACTCAGGGAGTTCCTGACTTTGGGATGTAATACATAGGAAATTATTGAAAAATCCTTCTCATAATAGAATCATGGCACTAAATGTGACATAATTTACTATTTTACTGAAAAATTTCCAACCTAAATTTAAAATAGTAACACTAAATTGTTTGATCCAAAATGAACCAGAGGCTTTCTTATTTATTAAGCTAGAAAAATTTCAGACTTCTGGATGCAAAACAAACAAACAAAAAATGTAATCAGATTGACTTACATATCTTTTCTAACATGTTAAGAGTTTAGAAGCTGATGTCTGGTGATGCTATAGGATAAGCACTGGACTACAAGTTGAGTTTGAACTGCAAAGTCAGAAGTTCAAATCCACCAGCTGCTCCTCAGAAACCCTATACAGGTTCGCTATAGGGTCAGAACTGACTTAAAAGCATTTAACAACAACTTTCCAAAATAGACTTTGACCTCTTTTCAAATCCAGAAATATAGTTGGAAGCATCAAAATAAAAACTGTTTACTATTATATAAAAATATGAACAAAGGATATATTCAATACCAAGCAGACACACTGATTATCTATATAGTTTCCTCCTGTTGAAGCATTTTATTTGAAAAGGGTAAACATGACATTATTGAGTGTTCTCATACTAGATGCTTTAACACACAAAGTATCTCATTTAATTTGTACACTTTAGGACATCTTATTTAATATTTTTAAATTTTATAGATTAAAAAAATGATCTTCATAAGATAATAAGAGAAGCTAATTATATGCTGTTATTGTTAAGTGACGTCACATTGGTTCTGATTTACAGCAACCCTGTATAGGGTTTCCAAGGAGTGGCTGGTGGGTTTGAAACACGGACCTGGCAGTTAGAAGTCCAGTGCTTATCCTACAGAGCCATACCAGGATTCCAATTATACATAAAGAAGTTAATTAATAAGTAATGCAATACATCTGTTGGCTCATTACTCTTTTCCATGCTATCTATATAAAATGGGGACAGTACTACTCATCTGGCAAACAGTTTTCTCAAAAGTAACAGCTTAATATGGCAACACAAAAATACAGAAATATTTTCAAAAAGCCTTACAAAGACCACCAAGGTAAAACAGAGACAAATGGATCCATAAAGTACGAGAAACATGAATTAAGCAGCAAGGCTAGAGTTGATGAGTTACATTTTGATAGTGGATCATTCTGACACCTAGTGGCCCAATTGTTACAGATGAAATAAAACCAAAAAGAAAAAAAAAAACAGAACTAAAATTTAAAACCAAGATGATTAGCACTCAAGTCATTTTCAGTAATTAACAATACTTTGAATTACTTTATTATGAACAATGTAGGATTTCCATCCATGCTATATATAAGCATATAAGCAGTGGTAGTAAGTACTTGTAAAATAAGAAGTCTGGAATGAAAATATGCTTTATGGCACCTTCTCTGGAGTGTTTCTCTGAAATCCATCTGTTCTGTGGTGTAATTAGTTCCACAACTTTGACTACTTATTTACCACTGCTTCGAAACTGAATTAGTGGGCCCACAAAAGAAACCTCTTAGTTCTTTTGAGAAACACTAAAGGTTCTCAATTAAACATTTTTGAATTAAAAACATAACTAGAACGCTCTTTGAGGTTTAATGATAAATATCAAGATTCTTGTATAAATACAACAGAGAAAAATATAAGATAGTCTGTGCCGCTCACTAAAATGCCATATATACTAAAGTGACCTGGTGTGGTGCTGTAGGATAAGCTGTAGACTGCTAATAACAAGGCTGGAAGTTAAGACCTATCATCCACCCCTTGGAAACCTTACACAGGGTCAGTATGAGTAGCAACTGACTCGATGACACTTAACGACCACAACATACCAATGATACACACAAATATTTATCAAATGCACATTTAGTACTTTGAGCCAAAGAAATATTATGGCTTATTTTAAGTATGTGCAGGCAGGCTATACTTTCACAATGATTTTAACATGCAGATGAGGGAAAAAAATCCACATAACTGGTCTTAAAAAGTTAAGGGTAGAAGAAATTGTAATTTATAAGACTATAACTAGAATTTATAATACCTTGCTATTCATCCCTGTTTAGAGTCCTGGTGTGTGGCATTGCAGAATAAGCTGGATGGCAATGTCACTTGAGCCACAAGGTTGGCGGTTCAAACTCACCAGTCACTTCTTGGAAACTCTATATAGGGTTGCTATGAGTTGGAACTGACAGGACGGCATTTAATAACAGCAACATTCAGCCTTGTTTAAACAGAAAGATTCAAAATAGGAATGAATCTCAATGGGAATGCTCACAAATGGAAATGAGTCTTCAGGCTCATTTTTTGGCTTGACGCAAAAAATGTTCAGTGCGGATCACTGTGCTTTAAATCAGTCCTGTGGTGAGTATACAGTGTAACTGCAGGGAAAATTGTTTTTGTTGTTAAGTGTCGTTGAGGGTGTTATGATTCATAGCAACCGTGGATAGATGCGTTTGAACTGCCAACCTTGTGGTGTGCATTCCAGTGTACATCCTACAGCCCCACACCAGGATTCTTTAAGGAAAATGCTGTATCTTAATTAATGTATTCCCTGTAGCAAGCCTGTGGTGGGGCACTGTAGTTCAGTGACAGAATTCTTGCCTTCCATGCAAAAAACAGGAATAGTTCTGGGCAGTATTTAGTTTCATCGCATGATATTGCCGTAGGTCAAGTATTTACTTCATAGCTGTTGTTTGTTTTTATTAAGTGCTGTTGAGTTGGTTACAACTCATAGTGACCCTGCATAGGGTTTCTAAGGCTTTAAATATTCGTGGAAGCAGAAAGCTTCGTTTTCTTCCTGGCTAGCAGGCTCAAATCACGAACCTTGTGGTCCACATTCCAATGCTTATTGTATAGAGCTAGGATGCTCCTACTTGACAGTAGCTAACAACAATAATAACAACACAGTAAACCTGTACCAACCTACCACAGCTTAAAATTTTTATAAATAATAAAGGGAACCATAAGTATATAGAGTATATTGTTAAGCGTTATTAACTTGGTTTTGACTTATAGAAAACCTGTACAGGGTTTCTGAGGAGCAGCTGGTGGGTGTGAATCCCCAACCTTGTGGTCCAGTGCTTATCCTAAGCGTCACACCAATATTCCATATAAAATATAAACTTCACTACTTATAATAGTAAATATGAATGTTAAAAGTTATGTAAACATGCTCTGCATAAATGGAACTATATAAAAAGTATGGTTTTTAAAAGATGGAATTCTTTTAGGTTACTGACAGTAAGGACTAACATTTGTCTCAAAATTCAGATACATTATTACTAGATCTTAGAGAAATTTATTGCCATACATTAAATTTATTTTCTACAGTTTTATATATATATATTGTTTTAAATATGTCATTGCTTTATTTAAATAAAGCCTTTAGAAAAATGTAATAGAAGCAAATGGAGCAAGATATTGGATACTTACAGTATTGTTTTTCCTGACAGCAGGAAAAAGTGGAAATGAAGGGGGGGAAAGCAACGATATGATAAAAATAAAATGTAAACAAGAAAATACATACATGAATAGAAAGGAAACAAGGCTCAAAATGCATTTTGGGATGTACCTTGAAGCCAGTCTACACCTTCCTGCAGTCCTTCTCCTTTAATGGCATCACTAGCACTGAAATAAAATTCACAAGAAACATGTTCATTTCATCACACCGGGGATTTTTAAAAAAAAAAGAATCAAAATTTTGCTACATGGAAATTTAATATATTTTAGTAACACATTTCTGAGAAAACTGGTTAAGCATTGAATACGAATGCAAACAAAGTAAAATTTTAGTGCTCAACAAGAAGATTATTGACATTACTCAAATCAATTTAGGTACTTTGAAAGAATATCAGTAAAAAGTTAACATTGTAAGAATAGCATTCAGACTAACATTTAAAAAAATAACAACCAATGAATTATTCTTCCAACTGTACAAAGTCCACTATCCTATTTTGCCAGGCTCCCATGACTAAATTTGTTGCTGTTAAGTGCCTTTGAATTGGTTTTGACTCATAACGACCCTGTATAGGGTTTCCGAGGCTATTCTGAAAGTTTCTATAGTGCAGAAAGCCTCATCTTTCTCCTGTGAAGCAGCTGGCAGGCTTGAACCATGGCCCTTGTAGTTCACTGTCCAGTGCTTATCATATAGAGCCACTATGCTCCCCCATGACTCAATAGCGTTTATTTATTTACTACTAATGCTTGACCTGGGTTGTAATTTGACCAAATGATAAAGTGAATTTGTATGAAATGGAATTTGCTACCTGTAGGATATAAATTTATTATTTTGGATTGAAATGTGTTCCTCCAAAATGTGTTGAAATTCTAACCCTTGTCTCTGAAAATATGACATTATTTGAAAACAAAGATTTAAAAAAATATATTAATGAAGCCATACCAAAGTAGGGTAGGTCTTAAATCTAATCACTTCTGAGTTATAAAAAGAGCAGAATAGACACAATGACACACACAGAAGAAAGACAGATTACATGTACAGATCTGTCTATAAGCAAAGGAACACCAGAAACACTAGGGGAGAGGCTCACAGAAGGGAACGAAACAGCTGAATATCTGAATTGGACTTTTAGCACCCAGAACTGTGAGAAAATATATTATCTGTGAGAATATATATCTGTTCTTTAGAGCCATCCACTTGTGTTATGGCAGCACTAGCAAAGTAAGACATTCATAATTATAACTTTGATAAACTGATAGAATTTAGGGGAAAAAAAATAGATCAATTTTATATTTACCAGTTGCAAGAGCCTTGCTAGGTTACTCAATTCTTTTGTCTTCAATTTTATCATCTATAAAATCGAACTCTGATCACTGATATCCTATGGTGATTGTGAAAAATAAATATTTGAGATATTGTATATAAACTGCCTAAAATAGTGTCCTTTCTATTCTTAAATGAGTATATTTAAATATGTATTGTGAATGTTACTTTATTTATAATCATAATTAAGTTATATCAACTGAAATAATAAATGTAGAAGATGTTCAAAGTACCAAATTCTCTTGACAAAGAAGCAGAACTAATATCTTCCTATAGCATTTTACTGTTAGTAATCTCCTTTCTAAACATTATAATCCTATAATGTTTTCATTAAGTGCTTTCGAGTCGGTTCCAACTCTTAGCGACTCTGCATAGGGTTTCCAAGGAGCAAGTGGTGGGTTTGAACCACCGACTTCGCAGCTCAAAACTGACCTTGCAGTCCAGAGCATTATCCTGCAGTGCTACACCAGGACTCCGATTCTATAACAGTCATTAGTATATACAATTTGCTTTTCTGATGATTAGGGTTTCTTTTAGTGTGCTGGAGAATGACTTAAAAGTGTGCTAAAATACCCAGAAGTTAATATGTTTATAATCATAACAAAAGTTACTTTCAAGGACAAATATGACTTACAGAATTATTTAAAAATAAGAAGACAGAAAGAAATCATTGCTGTTGTTGTTAAGTGCTGTCGAGTTGGTTCCGACTCACAGAGACTCAATACTCAAAGCCATCTACTTATTATCCACTGTAATAGCAAAACATCCAGTCATGGAAATACTTAAATTCAGAAAGATGAATGGGAAACTATGCATAACAAAATTTCAAACTCCATACTTTCTGGAGCCATGGAGGGTGGATAAACCCTTGAAACAATTGATCTGAGACAATCTTTAAACCTTAAAGCAAAAATGTCTCCTAAAGCCTTCTTTAAAAAAAACAAAACGAAACAATAGTTTAGCTTAACTAATTAAAAAACAAACAAACAAAAAACCCATGTCTGTCTTCAGCAGTATGCTCTTGGAAAATCTATTTATATGGTATCAAACTGACAAGAGCAAGTTAGACAGGAACCTTATGGGGGCAGTGAGTTTATGTTAAACGGTGGAGGAACAATTTACAAAAGGAGGGCGAGAATTAGTTGTACAACTCAAAGAACATAATCAGTGTTACTGAACCTTACGTGTAGAAACTGGAATTGCTGTAGGTTTTGCTACTAATAGATTCGCAACAACAACAAAGTAAAAGTTAAACAACACAACAAAAAAGACTGAACTGAGTTTCTTATTCACCTACAGTCTCCTCTGGTGAAGGTATCACCATCCTACAGAAAAACCTGACTCTTTTCCTAACAAATCTCATATGTTTGAACTCTACTTTTCCTTTCAAAAAATTCATACAGCCTATCTGTATCTAAGGAGTCCTGGTGTGGCACTGTGGGTTAATGTGTCAGACTGCAAAGCCATTTGAACTACAAGGTCGGTGGTTCAAGCTCATCAGCTGCTCCTTGGAAACCCTATACTGGGTCGCTATGGGTCGGAATCGACTTGATGGCACTTAACAACAACAACAACATCGTATCTAAAATGGAAGTAAAAATTCTCCCCACAAGAGCCTACATAATCTGGTCCTTACCTATTTCTCAGTGGCCCCATCTCCTTTATTTTCCCCCACTTACTAGATTTCTTGCTGTTATGGAAATACACCAGGAGCAATCTATCCAAGAGCTTTTCACTTGCTGGTCACTATCTAGAAAGCTATTCCTTCAAACATTCACCTGACTTCAATTAGGCCTTGAAGTGGCAGGACATCCCATTATTCATTTTTGTCATCCTGTTTTAGCTTTCTTCATCCACCCAGATGACATTTTACATACTTATTTACTTGTTTTATTACCTATTACCCCTACTAGATAAAAATAAGAAAATATGTATACAAAGGGGCTTCAAAAAGTTCATGGAAAAGTCCCATTATCTTTCAATTCCATTTTCCACAAACTTTTTGAAGCCCTCTTGTATAGCACACCAGAGACTGAGTCACAGAATAAACATAAGGAACAACAACATAATTGGATCCTGAACATCAGAATTGACCATATCTTAAGTACAATGGTCAAAATAAACCACATAAAATAGTCCTTTAATTTTCAAAACCTATCAGGAAGGAGCTCTGGTAGCGTAGTGGTACGAATCAGGCTGCTAACCTGAAGGTCGGCAGTTCGAAACTACCAGTGGTTCTGCAGGAGAAAGATGAGATGTTCTGCTCCCATAAAGATTTACAGCCTCGGAAACCCTGTGCAGGGTCACTATGAGTCGGGAACCGACTCCATGGTACTTAACAACAACAACATCAGCCAAGGAGCTCTGGGCTGCTAACCTCACAGTCAGCAGTTAGAAACTACCAGCTGTTCTGTGGGAGAAAGATGAGGCTTTCTGTCCCTGTAAGAAGTTACAGCCTCAGAAACCCTGTACAGGGTCGCTATGAGTCGGAACCAACTCCACGGCACATAACAACAACCAGCCACTGAAAAGAATGCTGAGGCTTTCTGCTCCCATAGATTTACAGCCTCAGAAACCTTATACATGGGAGGTATGAGTGGGAATCGACTCGACAACACTTAAGAAGAATACATCTGTATATATAGGAGCCCTGGTAGTGCTGTAGGATAAGCACAGGATTGCTACCAGCTATTTAGCAGTTCAAACCCACTAGCCACTCTGAGATAGAAAGAGAAGGCTTTCTGCTTCCATAAAGATTTACATACTCACAAACTATACAGGGTAGCTATGTGCCCTGGTAAACTCAGTGGTAATGAGATGTATAACTGTAAATTTGACCATTTGAAAATCGAGCTTTTCTTTGGCTATGCTAATGAGGTCACACTGAGTTTCTGTTGTTGTTAGGTACCTTTGAGTTGTTTCAGACTCATAGTGACCCTAAGCACAAGAGAGCAAAATACTGCCCATTACTGTACCATCATCACAATCATTACCTTTGAACCCATTGCTGCTGCTACTGCATCAATCTCTTTGGGAGTCTTCCTCTTTTTTTTTTGGCTCTCCACTTTACCAAGTATGATGTCCTACTCCAGGGACTGGCCTTTCCTGGTAACATGTCCAAAGAATGAGAGATGAAGTCTCGATATCCAGGCTTCTTAGAAGCATTCTGACTGTACTTCTTCCAACAGATTTGTTTGGCAGTCCTTGGTACTTTCAATACTCTTTTCCAAGACCATAATTCAAATGCATCGATTCTTTTACAGTCTTCCTTATTCATTTAATTTTCATACGCTTATGGTGGTGGTGGTTGTGTACTGTGGAGTTGGTTCTCACTTATAGCAACCCTGCATAGGGTTTCCGAGGCTATACATCTTTACTGAAGCAAAAAGTCTCATCTTTCTTCTATGGACTGACTGGCAGTTTCCAATTGCTGACCTTGAGGTTAGCAATCCAACTTGTAACCACTACAAGATGACCGAGAATACCATGGCTTGGGTTAGGTGCACCTCAGTCCTGAAACTGACATCTTTGTTAACACTTTAAAAAGATCTCTTGCAGTAGATTTGCTTAATGCAATACGTCATTTGAATTCTTGACTGATATTTCATGAGTGTTAACTGTGGATCCAAGCAAAATGAAATTTCTAACTTCAATTTTTTTTCCATTTATTACGTTGTTATTTATTGGTCCAGTTGTAAGGATTTTTCTTTTCTTTACACTGAGGTATAATCCATACTGAAAGCAGTAGTCTTCATTAATAAATGTTTTAAGTCCTCTTCTCTTTCAACAAGCAAGGTTGTATCATCTGCATATTTCAGGTTGTTTAATGAGTCTTATTTCAATCCTGATGCCATGTTCCTCTTGGATTACTTGTTCAGTATAGATTGTGTAAATATGATGAAAAGATACAACCCTGTTTCATACCTTTCCTGATATTAAATCATTCACTATCCCCTTGTTCTGTTCGAATGACTGCCTTTTGGTCTATGTGGCAGTTCTTCATGAGCACAATTAAGTGTTCTAGAATACAATACCCATTCTTCACAATGTTATCCATAGTTTTCAACGGTGTCATGATCCACACAGTTGAAAGCCTTTGTAGAGGCAATAAAGCACAAGTAAACATCTTTCTGGTAGTTTTTGCTTTCCATCAAGATCCATCTGACATCACCAATGATAGACCTCATTCCATGACCTCATCTGAATCTGACTTGAAGTTGTGGTAGTTCCCTGTCCATGTACTTTTACAATTTTGAATTACTTTTAGCAAAATTTTACTAGCATGTGATATTGATGATTTTGTTCAATAATTTATGTATACTGTTGTGTCACCTCTCTTTGGAATGAGCACAAATATGTTTCTTTCATGACAAGTTATGGACAACATTGAGAAGTATGAGTACTCTGGAACACTTAAATTGTGCTCATGAGGAACCTGTACATAGACCAAGAGGCAGTTGTTTGAATAGAACAAGGAAACACCAAATGGTTTAAATTTAGGAACTGTGTACACCAAGGTTGTATTCTTTCACCATACTTATTCAATCTGCATATTGAGTAACTAATCTGAGATGTTAGATTATATGAAGAAAAATGTGGCATCAGGACTGGGTAAAGACTCATTAGCAACCTAAGATATGCAGATAATACAACATTGTTTGCTGAAAGTGAAGAGGACTTAAAACACTTACTGATGAAAATCAAAGACCACAGCCTTAGGTATGGATTACATCTCATTGTAAAGAAAACAAAAATCCTCACTAGTGGACCAATAAACAGCATCCATATCGATGGAGAAAAGACAGAAATTGTCAAAGACTTCATTTTAGTCTAATCAACCATCAACACTCATAGAAGCAGCAGTCAAGAAATTATGCAAATCTGCAGTCATTATGCAAATCTGCTGCACAAAACCTTTGTAAAGTGTTAAAGAGCAAAGATGTCAGTTTGAGAACTGAGGTGCACCTGATCCAAGCCATGGTATTTTCAATAACCTCATATGCATGTGAAACTTGGACAGTGAATAAGGAAGACCGTAGAAGAATTGAAGAATTTGGGTTATGGTGTTGGAGGAGAATATTGACAGCACCATGGACTGCCAAAAGAACAAACAGATCTGTGTTGGAAGAACTACAGCCAGAGTGCTCCTTGGAAGCCAGGATGGCCAAACCTTATCTCTCATACTTTGGACACATTATCAGGGGGGACCAGTCACTAGAGAAGGATACAATGTTTGGTAAAGCACAGGGTTGGGGAAAAAGAGGAAGACCCCCAAGGAGATGTACTGGCCAATGGCAGCAACGATGGCCTAAAGGGAAGCAATGACTGTGAGGTTGGCCTAAGACCAGGCAGTGTTTTGTTCTGTTGTGTAGGGTCACTGTGAGTTGGTACTGACTTGACGGTACATAACAACAACAACTTTGAAAAGGCAGCTCGTCCCCAGTCACATTTTAAGTGTCTTTCATCATTAGGGGCTCATCCTCTGTCACTATATTTGACAATGTTCTATTACTATTCATAAGGTCTCCAGTGGCCAAACATTCAGAAGTAGTCTGTCTCTCAGTCTTAGTCTGGAAGCTCTACTGAAACCTGTCCACCATGGGTGACCCTGCTGGTATTTAGCATATCAGCATCACAGTAACACACAAGCCACTACATTACATTTACAAACACAAAAGAGTAACAAGACCTAGGAGACAGGTCACAGAAAGAACTGACACAGTCAAGACTCTGATTTGGACTTTTGATATGATGATAAAATAAATCTCTGTTCTTTAAACTCACCCACTTGTGGTAATATATTTTGTTTTGGCAACATTAGGCAACTACAACACAGGGGCTAAAGAATTGAGTAAAATAGGAAAAATCCAAGCTCTCATGGAATATCAACACGTAAATACCAGGGAGACAGACGATACACACACAGGAACTTTAAAGGGTTCCTCACACATACACACACTCACAAAAAGTCACATGCTAATAGAAAAATAAGAGAAGAACAAGTGATACTGTATAACAAATATAGTGTTGTTTTAAAGAGTAATAAAAGTCTCTTTCCTGAAAGAAGTACAATAGCAAGCCAGACAAATGTATCTGGGTGAATGACTCAAAAAAAAGGGAGTAACATTCAAAGGCAAATACCCATAACTTACTGATTCAGTGTGTGAAAGGATGTGTAATTGAAGTTGAGTAAGTGGGCGGCTTTATGTTAGTCAACGATAAGTTCTGTTTATATTTATTCATCCTTAAAATATTTGATAGGGTTATAATAGTAATATAGTCATGAATACTTACAATGTTCTAATTCTATAAGACAAAATCTTTAGCTTACATTCTACCATGTTCAGTCACTTATCAAACAAGCAAAGAAAAGAAAGACTGAAGCTAGATTTTTCAAAAGGATAAAACGAAAAACAAAGACTGTATAACACTTTACCAGATATGCCAGGGTTTATCTTTGATGTTTTCTAAACACAGCAACTGAGACACTTTTACAGATGTCACAGCATCTCTAAGATCCATTTTGTTTGCAAAGAATAAGATTGGTATTCGGCGGTGTTTAATATCTAAAAGAGAAAACAAGAGTATCATCAGACTTCCATTTTGGGCCCTTTCTTTTTTCCAAATCCTTAAAATTGAAATCCACTTAAAAGAATTATCTTCCAATCACTTCTTTTCATATTACATAATTAAACATTTAAAGATATATATTGTCAGGCACATATTTGAATAAGAAACATTTGGAAGTACTCCTTTTTATGATTAACTCTCCTCTGGTTAGCCGCTATAAAACAAAGACTGATGGAGTGGGCTATTCAGTAGCTATATAACAGCACTTTAAAAGGGTCCAACACTATTTTTGTTTGTTTCATTTTTACTGTCAACAGAAAAGTGATAAACTTCAACTAGAAAATGCAAGGAAGATAAGCTAGATATTGAGTTTAGATTTTGGTAAGTATTATAAGCAACAAGTGAGCTATGTTAATAAGATTATTTTTATTTTTTTGATATTGTTAAAATTTTATAAAAGCTTTTTTTTTTCTTTTTTACTATTTTTAATAGTTAATGTAAATAGTTCAAAATTTAAAAGACACAGAATGATATAAAAGAAAAAAGAAAATACCTCTTAACTTTGTCCCAGGGTATGCCTAAGGGCCCTGCTTACAGGAAACAACGTCATAGCATCACTTCCCTGGCATCTTTTCAGAAGCATTTTATGTATTTGCAACTTAAATATTATATGTGTTCTTTTTCACATAAACAGTAACATACTACACACACTTATCTATATTGTATTACATCTTCCTCTTTTCACTAAACTTAAATTATTTTGCAGATCTTACCCTATCAGCACATAGACAGTAGCTTTTTATTTTATCAGTTGAAGAGTATTTAACCACTATCGTAGTATAATCGAACCACTATCTATCTGAAATATATTTAAGTTGTTGCCAATTTTAGTAACTACAAATAATACTGTAACGAATAAATTTGCACAAAGACAATTTTGTACATGGGAACAGTATGCCTGCAGGATAAATTCAAGAATGGAATTGCTGGGGCAAAAGGATGTGCAAATTGTTATTGTGATAGGTAATGATTACCACACTACCTTCCCGTTAATACTGTTTCAATTTACATTTTAAAAATATATGTATTTTTCAGTCTTTGCTAAAAGAGTGTTATCGAACTTTTAAAAAAAAACAACTATTATAATGTACTTCTTAGCATTTGAGAAAGACTGAAAATCTTTTCATATACTTAATCTTTCGGTTAACTACTTATAATTTCTTTTCCTCATTTTTCGATTAAGCTTTTATTCTCTTATTGATTCATATAAAATGTATATATTTTATCTTGTCATTTATTTGTCTTTGACTGCTCATGGGCTATATAACAGGTTTTTTTCTATTACAAAATTTTTGCTAGTACTATTCATCAACATTCTGCTTTAGATTCTAGATTTGTGTTATATTTAGAAAGACCTACTTACCTCAAAAAAAAAAAAAAAAAAATCTCCCATAGTTTTTCTGTTGCTGGAATGTTTTTTTACACTTCAATATTTAAACCAGCTGGAATTTATCCTGGAGTACATAACATGTTTTTTGTCTTTTTTTAAGACAGCTTTCCAAATTCTCGGAACACAGCTATTTGATGAATATCTTTTCTGTGTTAATTTGAAATGTCTACTCTTGTAAGTTCTAAATCAAAGTATATTTCAATTTATTCCTATACGTTTGTTTACCTCTGAGTCTCTGTATAATAAATTACATATGAATATTGTAATCTCTAACTCAACCATTAAAAATAATACAAGAGGCATGCTATTGTTATTGTTAGTGCTGTGGTGCCTTGAATTTACTTGATATGGCTATCCAAAGTCTTCTTAATTCCTACCAAGTGATTGGGTGGGACAATGCAAATAAGGTGGTTCAGGACTCTGGATTGGTTAGTTTTAGTCAGTTCAGTTTAAAAGAAGCCATCTCAGAAGCAGAGATGGTAAATCAAAGAACTATAAAGAAGGAAGAATATGAGTGAAGTATGAAAAATGGCGGAAGCACAGGCAGTGGCATGGAGAGACAGAGTAGCTTTGGGCTCTAAGCCTATGGACTGTGTAAAGCTACGTGCCTTACAGGCAGGAGACTGGCTTGAAGAATATGCCCTTTGGACAGTCACAGCTGGCTAAAAGAATTTTGTTAACATGTTCTTGAGGAAGGGCAGAGGCCCAGGTACCACATGTCTGAGAGGTCAAAGACAAGAGTGAAGCATGCCTACAGTATGACCGACAAGAAGCATCCTGAGTTGGTTTTGATCCTGAATTGCACCCTGTTCACTCCCATAACAAACCCCACAATCATGAGTATTGTTCAAAGTTCTGTGTAGCCATTGCAGTGGATTATCAAACCCAGATGTGAAGCAGAGAGTGCTGTGGGAGAGATGGTTGGTGTAAGAAGAGGGTAAAGAAGGTTGTAGGTGGAAGAATGTCTGACGTCTACTTCATAGGAATTGGTCTTGAGCTGATTTTGAGTTTGATTCTCTTTTCCTATTTGTGAAGCCAACGGAAGTCAGACCTGGTCTCCACATGGTGAAGCAAAGTCAAAAAAGAGCAAAGGAAAACAGCAGACAGACTGAAAAACAAATTAGTCTCTAATATGGTAGACTTAGTATAGTGGTGAGTATCCCCACCTGTCAAGTAGGAGGTTGGGTTTCGATTCCCCAATGAGGGGGCAGACACCCTTTGGAGTCATGGTGTAGGATAAGCACTGGACTACAAGGTCAGTTTGAATAACAAGGTTGACAGTTCACACCCACCAGCAAGTCCCTGGAAACCCTATACAGGGTAGCTTTGAGTCGGAACAGACTCAATGGCACTTAAGAACAACAACAACATGCCTCTTACATTATTTTTAATGGTTGCTGTAGAGATTATGATATTCATATTTAAGTTATTACACAGATACACAAAGGCAGATAAAGTATAGAAATAAACTGAAATGTACTCTGATTTAGAACTTGTAATTTCTACAGTTCAAAATCCAACATAATAATTATTTTGTATGAAATGTAAATGAACTAAATACTTTAATTAAAGCTGATATTGTCAGAATGGATTTAAAAAAAAGGCACACCTATATGCTACATATAAGAAATACTTTCAACATATGAATGCAAACCAGAAAGTAATTAAGTACATTTAACAATGTCACTAGACACAAAGGCAATGTTCAAAAATCATAATAGCATTTTCATTTCCAGCAGTGAACTATTCATGAATTTTAAAACACCAAGTATTGTGATCATTGCAATGAAACAAAGTACGATAGGATGAATGTAAAGATAATGTTCACCCGTGTAAACTAACACATAATTCTCAACAAAAACGTTTAAAAAAAAACCACACCAAATAATAACTTAAAAAAATCTTAGGAATAAACTGAAAGTTGTGTAAGATTTCTATCCAGAAAAGTTTTAGAACAAGGCATAATATAGATATATATCATGTTCATGAGCTGGAAGACATTGCTAGATCCAATGCCAATTATTCCCAGTAGCAATCTAATTAATATACCAACAGTTTTTCTACAGTCTGCCTTAAAAAAAAAAAAAATTTAAAAATATGAAGAACCAAGAACTGCCAAAACAATTTTGAAAAAGAACAGAGTTGGAGGGTTAACCCTACCTAACCTCAAGATTTATTCTAAGCCTACAGTAATCAAGACTGTAGAAAAGAATATAAAATAGATTAATGGAACAAAACAGAATTCAGAGTAGATCCAAATATATACAAGTAATTTTAATCACTCCACTCTTTTCTAAGGCATTCTGGTGTAGCGCTGTAGAATAATGCACTGGACCATAATGTTGGTTTGGACTGCAAGGTTGGTGGTTCAAACTCACCAGTTGCTCCTTGTTGTTGTTGTTGTCAGGTGCCATCGAGTTGGAACTGACTCATAGCGACCCCATGCACAGCAGAACGAAACAATGTCCAATCCTGGGCCAACCTCACTACTGCTGCCACACTTGAGTCCATCAATGATGCCACCTGGCCGATCCATCTAGTTGAGGGTCTTCCTCTTTTTCTCTGACCCTCCACCCTACCCAGCATGACATCCTTCTCCAATGATTATTTCCTCCGGATAATATGTCCAAAGTAGGAGAGACGAAGCTTAGCCATCCTGGCCTCCAAGGAGCACTCTGGCTGCACTTCCTCCAAAACAGATCTATTGGTTCTTTTGGCAGTCCATGGCACTTTCAGTATTCTCCTCCAACACCACAACTCAAAGGCATCAATTCTTCTACGATCCTCCTTATTCACTGTCCATCTTTTGCATCCATATGAGGCTATTGAAAACACAATGGCCTGGGTCAGGCGCACCCTAGTCCTCAAGCTGACATCTCTGCTCTTCAACACTTTAAAAAGTTCCTGTGCAGCAGATTTGCCCAGTGCAATACGTCGTCTGATCTCTTGACTGCTACTTCCGCGAGTGTTGATAGTTGACCCAAGAAGAATGAAGTCCTTGACAACTTCAATCTTTTCTCCAATGATAAGAATGTTGTTTATTGGTCCAGTGGTGAGGATTTTTGTTTTCTTGACATTGAGATGTAATCCATATCGAAGGCTGTGCTCTTTAATCTTCATAAGTAAATGTTTCAAGTCCTCTTCACTTTCAGCGATCAAGGTTGTATCATCTGCATATCGCAGGTTGTTAATGAGTCTTCCTCCAATCCTGATGCCACGTTTTTCTTCATAGAACCCAGCTTCTCGTATTATTTGCTCAGCATACAGGTTGAATAAGTATGGTGAAAGAATACAACCCTGTCTCACACCTTTCCCAATTTTAAAACATTCAGTGTTCCCATGTTCTGTTCGAACAACTGCTTCTTGGTCTAGGTACAGATTTCTTAGAAGTACAACTAAGTGTTCTGGAATACTCATACTTCTCAATGTTGTCCATAGCTTGTCATGATCCACACAATCGAAAGCCTCTGCATAGTCAATAAAGCACAGGTAAACATCCTTCTGATATTCTCTGCTTTCAGCCAAGATCCATCGGACATCAGCAATGATATCTCTCATTCCACGGCCTCTTCTGAATCCAGCTTGAACCTCTGGAAGTTCTCTGTCAATGTATGATTGTAGCCGTTTCTGTATTACCTTTAGCAAAACTTTGCTCGCTTGAGATATCAAAGAGATTGTCCGATGATTTCCGTCGCTCCTTGGAGACTCTATATAGGGTCTCTATGAGTCAAAACCAACTTGATGGCACTTTAACAGTAATTCTTTTCTAAAAGTTCTGGCACAAAGATTACTTAATAATAATGCAAGAAATCTTAAAAAGCTAAGCTGTTACTTTGATAACTAAGATGCACTTGACCCAAGCTATGGTATTTTCAGTCACTTTATATGCATATTAAAACTGGGCAAATGAAAAAGGAAGAGTGAAGAATAGCTGATGTATTCAAATTGTGCTTTTGATGAAGAATATTGAAGACTGTCCCAGGAAAAACAAAGCAATCTTGGAGAAAATACAGCAAGAGCGTTCCCTAAAAATGAAGATGGAAAGACACCATTGTGCTTACTTTGGGCACATTATCAAAGATAACCAATCACTAGAGAAGGGCATTATGCTTGGTGAAGTAGAGTGTCATAGAAAAAAAGAGGGATATCCTCAATGAGATGGCTTGATACAGTGGCTGCAACATTGGACTCAAATACAGCAATAGTTGTGAGTGTGGTCCAGGAATGGACAATTTTAAGGTCTCTATGCGTTTGAACTGCAAGGTTAGTGGTTCAAGCTCACCAGTTGCTCCTTGGAAACCCTATACAGGGTCGCAATGGGTCAGAATTGACTTGATGGAACTTAACAACAACAACATGAGTCAAAGCCAATTCAACAGCATGCAACAACAAAGCTATAAATGCAGAGTACTGCAAGGTTTATTGGAACATTGTTTATAGTGGAAAGGGAGTCCTGGTGTGGTACTGTAGGATAAGCATTGGATTGCTAGCAATGGCACTTAATACCACAATAATCCCTAAGTGAATGATTGGTTAATAGTTGAAGAAACTGTAGAACAGTATTCTACTGTGGCAAAAATAATAACAGTTCATTTATATACACGAAAGGATATATGTATGTGTATAAATATGCCATATATAAAAAGTATGAAAGAAAAAAAAAACTTCACCAAGTTGTGTTATCTTGGGAAGGGGTTTTGGGAACTAAAAGTTGGAGATTAAAAAAAGAAAAGATCCATTTGAAAAGAATTTCCATATAAACAATATGCAAAAAATGCTATAAACATATATATACATATGCAAATATGTACACATGTATATGTTGTTGTCATTAAGTGCCCTGGAATCAGTTCTGACTCATAGAGACCCTGTTAAATAGGATTTCCAAGGAACAACTGGTGGGTTTGAACTGCTGACCTTGCAGTTAAAAGTTCATTAGATATCCATGAAAAGATGCTAGTCAAAATTTTAATAGGTGTTGAAATAGAAGAATTTTTACTTTCAGTCTTATTCTTTTTCTGTATGCATTTTTACTACTGGATCATATTATTTATAAAATCAGAACAAAGGGGGGATTTCTATTTGGGAGAAAAAAAATCAGAAACCCAGATATGCAGGTAAAGATATTATAAATTCTGCATAATGAACATGAGTTTTAAAACTCTAAAATTTCAAGCAAAAAATAATTAAACAGTGTGAGCAACACTTTCATCAACACAAAAGGACAAAATATCACGTCTAAGACACAAAAGCATAGGAACCCAGAAACTGGAAAACAAACATACCTGGATGGTTCAGAAGAGTATCAAGTTCTTCTTTGGCCACAACCATTCTTAATCTATCACTACTATCAATGACAAAAATAATGGCTTGTCCTTCTCTGTATAATATAAAAAGAAAAATTAAAGCTGTATTCCTAGTATTATCTCTTTATGTCCTATGTCCATTTAACATTAAATATTTTGGTATTCCTTCTTATCAATTTATGTGTGTGGCTAATATAATAACTACTATATGATGGGACTTCAAAAATTTGGTGGAGAATTTTAATTAAAAGATGAATTTTTTCCATGAATTTTTGAAGTTCCTATTCCTGGTGTGGTGCTGTGGGTTAATGCGCTGGACTGCAAAGTCAGTTTGAACCAAGGTTGGTGGTTCCAGCATACCAGCTTCTCCTTGGAAACCCTATACAGGGTCGCTATGGGTTGGAATAGACCCAATGGCACTGAGCATTGTTGTTGTTGTTAAATGCCATAGAGTTGTAGCAACCCTGTATAGGGTTTCCAAGGGGTAGCTGGTGAGCTTGAACCACCAACCTTGCAGTTCAAAAGGCTTTGCAGCCTGGTGCATTAACCCGCAGTGCCACACCAGGACTCCACACTTAAGATTATATCATGTAAAATAGTCTCTTTAACATGGATGACAGTAATAATGAGTTTCATAAGTTGCCATTTCATGTTATTTTTATTTAACCAAACAAAATGTCTTATTTGTTTAAAAATAAGAACATACAACAAAAAGAATTTTAAAAGAATCCTCTTACCCAGATATAATTAGAAACATTTTGCTACATGTCAATTCTGACATTTCTTTATGCAGTTTTATATACTGCCTCTCTGGAATACAAGATGACTAAAAAAATTCATGGAAAAATGGAATTAAAAAGATAATGGAATTTTTTCACAGACTTCTGAAGTCTCCTCATATATGTACGTGTGTATATATATATATATACACTACTTTTCCAAAGTTTGTTCTATGTCACTTTCCTTTTGTAATAGACCTATATTATACCTGTTTTCATTAACCAAAAGAAATATTTGCTTATAAGAAAAAAGCAAAGATCATTCCCATCCCCTCTGTACACGGGGTTGATAGGGACAGGCAACTTAGACATTGGCTACCTAAAATGTGGGGCTGTAAAGGCATGAAGTGACTGGCTTACAAGTTTTCAAGAGGGAGTTTACATTCAGAGTGTGTGGAGGTGTGGGGGATGGGCAGGGGGAAAGGCAGAATCCTCACTGAGTGGTTTTCATCCTGTCTAGATAGGTCTGCTGACCCTGAGGTTAGCAGCCTGATTTGTAACCACTACGTGAGAGAAAGATGAGGCTTTCTGCTCCTGTAAAGATTTACAGCCTTGGCAACCCTGTACAGGGTCACTATAAGTCAGAACCGACTCCACAGCACAATAACAACAGCAACAACAGACAGGTCGGTGAAAGGTGATGGGGACAAGACTCTCATGATTCAATAGTGAGTAATTGCTATCATGACTAATTGTGATTGTTGCAACTGTGAAGGTGGAAGTTTTATAGCATAAAGGGGTGAGTGGTCGGATCTTACAGTCCCAGAGCAGAGGACCTCGTGACTATCAAGGGAGAAGAGCAGGAGTGGAGTGTGGGACCCTACCCAGAGAAGCAGTGACGCCAGAGATGGAGGCAGAGATGATGACATGGAGAGACGGAGCAGCTGAGGACTCTAGACTCATGGAGGGAGAGGGGATGTGTGCTGGCGGCTGGGGGGCAGGCTTACAAGGTATGCCCTTTGGCTTTTTAAATAACTGTATGCTCCTGAGTGTTTTGCTGCACATCCAGAAAAAAAACCAGAGGGAATAGAAGCAAATACTGTTGAAAGATGAAGCATGCAGGGGATTGTAATCATGGCAATGAAACAAATAACATTGTAATCATTACAATGAAACAAATACGATAGGATGAGTGTAAAACTGATGTTTCCCCATGTAAACTATCACTCAACTCACAATAAAAACTTAAAAAAAAAAAAAAAAAAAGGCAAAAATCGAAACTAGCATTCAGTAGTTGTTTTGCAAAAGCCATTAAAGAAACAGCATGCACCCCAAGCAGTAAGAAAGGCATCATCAAGCTCCTTCCCTGGGAACTAAATTCAGCATACTATAGCTTTGAACTGTGTCTGTGAACATTATACAGACGTCATATGTTATTTGGTTTGATTTGGTAAATTATTTTTGGGGTCTGGGAATTCTCAAAAATTCTTCTCATATAAATTAATGGTAATTGTTTCTTTACACCATTATTACTCATGAAAATTTCAGAAAACGTTCTACTGTACTTGAATATCAAATATTCAAGCTCTATACCAGTGTTTCTCCAAAAAATACTAGGATCCTTAGTAGAGGGTAATGTGATAATAAGGAATACATTTTATATTTAAGATGCTAAACACATTAAGTATACATAAATACATTTGAAATAAAAGTATTCTGAAACTAAACTTACTAACAACTTTTACTTTTATTCTATTAGATTTTCTTAAAGATGACAGCTAGCAAATGACTAGATCTAAGGAGTCACTAATGAATCACACCTGCAATTTTAAAGCATTGATTATTTTTCACCTTGCTTTTAATGGTTATAAAGGATTCCACTGCATGCAGGTGCCATTAAATTCTGCTAAACTTTTTAGATTATTTCCAATTTTTGTTATTAGGAATAATTGAGATAAACATCCATATTTTTCCTGATGTTTTATTATGTACTGTTATGAATAAAATCTCTGAGAATACATTGACAGACTCATCTTAGAACAGTCCCACTCCCTTGCCATCCTTTTCAGTTTTTGATATTCTCCTGGTGTGGCTCTGTGGGCTAATGCATCAGGCTGCAGTTGTTTGAACTGCAAGGTCGGTGGTTCAAGCTCACCAGCTGCTCCTTGGAAACCCTATACAGGGCTGCTATGGGTCAGAATCGACTCAACAGCACTTAACAACAACAACAACAACAACAATGCCATATTATTTTAATTTGCATTTTAAACATTGTTAGTGAGGTACCGTATATTTTTATATATTTCTTGGACATTTTAACTTTTTTGTTAACCTCTTATTCCAGTTATAAGTTAAGATGTTTACTTTCAGTGTGATTAGTATTCACATAAAAATAAAGCTTTAAAAACCATTTATCCCATCATTCCAAAAATTAAAACACAGATTATCACAGTCATACATTAAGAATATCTATATAAATTGGTACAACTGAAAATACATATTAAGTGCTTTAAGAATACTAGGACACTTTGAGGGAGTAATTTTATTTCTAGGAATTTATTCTAAGAAATCATAAACTATGAAAGAGATTTATATAGTAATATATTAACTCAAGGATTGTCTATAATCTACAAAAACTGAGAATAGGTTTTATGCTACCAAATAGAGACCTGGTTGAGCAATTTTGACAAAGTATTGTGAAAAACTATTAGTCAACCATTAGAGTTATATTCATTGTATGCTCTTCCTAACTTACCCATTTCCTAGAATGTTAACTAAAATAACTAGGATGCAAAATTATACATCATGCATAAGTTAGGCAGCTCCTTTCTCCTTAATTATATAAAGTATACATATAGGATGGGACTTCACAAATGTTTGTGGAAAAATTCCATTATCTCTTCACTTCATTTTTCACAAACTTTTAGAAGTCTCCTCATCTACTATAAAAGAGAAACAAATTGAAAAGACTAACAACAGTGAATTTTAGTAGTAAGGCCTATGGAAAACAATTTTTCTGCATTTTTTATTAGATTTTCCAAACTTCAAAAAATGCATTTTTTAATATTTTGTACTTTATTATTTTAGGAGCTCTGGTAGCATAGTGGTTACAAATTGGGCTGCTAACCTCAAGGTCAGCAGTTCGAAACTACCAGTTGTTCCGCGGGAGAAAGATGAGGCTAGGCTTTCTGCTCTTGTAAAGATTTACAGCCTCAGAAACCCTATACAGGATCGCTATGAGTTGGAACGGACTCCACAGCACACTTCCACCACTTCATTATTTTTTTAAGAGTAATGTGCAAAACCCACAACATTTAACATCATTTGTTGTTAAGTGCAGTTGAGTTGGTTCCAAGTCATAATGAAACTGTATAAGGTTTCCAAAGCTGTAAACCTTTACAGGAGCAGAAAGCCTTATCTTTCTTACTCTGAGTGACTGGAAAGCTTGAACTGCCAATCTTATGGTTCACAGTCCAGTATTTATTCTACAGAGTGACCGTGCTCCCTTATTTTACATTATACAAACAGATAAAATATGGATTTATATTATAATCCCATTATTCCCTAAACAAATGCTATTAATAGGCTGGTGCATATTCCTTTATAATTCTTTATTTTTCTCCCTATATTCTAAAAGAATTCTGGTGTGGTGCTACAGGATAAGCACTTGAACTCAAGTTTGGTATGAACTGCAAGGTTGGCAGTTCAAGCTCACCAGTCACTCCTTAGAATCCTGAAATAGGGTCAGTATGAGTTGGAAAAGACTCAACGACACTTAACAACAACAACAAATATATACTAAAGGAGTCCAGGTGTGGCACAAGGTTGGCAGTTCAAATCCAACAGTCCTTGAAATTCTATACTGTCAGACCCGACTCGATGGCACTTAACAATAACATAAATAATAAAAGTCTGTGGGTGGCACAAGTGTTTGTTTGACTACTAGCTGATAGATTAGTGATTCGAACCCATCCAGAAGCACCTCTGAAGACACGTTTGGAAATCTGTTTCTAGAAGATCACAGCCTTAAAAAACCTATGAAGTAGTTCTTCTCTGCCCACATGGGATTCTTCGTGAATTGGAATCGACTTGATAGCAACTATCAACAACAGCAACATATATTTATATCAAAAATATAATTTTTTTTAATATAATTGAGGTTTGTGTAAATATGTCATTATAAAAAATGCTCAGTGGATATACCTCTCTGCATATCTTTACCCACTAGAGCTCTAGACATAGGATACATTTCTAAAAGTTAAAATGCTGGGTATGAACATTTTCATTTTAACAGATAAAGTACCCTGAATTTATTTACTAAATTCCCACTCATAAGAGTGGCTCATTCTACCAATTGTAGACTTTATTAATATTTTTAAATCCTTTCCATTATAGTCAGTAAAAATTCATTTGTTTTTCATATTCAGCAAAAAAAATGAGGTAGAGGAAATAAATTACTATTACCGTAAACTTCTCAACAGTAACTGTATTTACCATTCAGTCTACAATTTAACTACAATACCTCATCTATTTCTTCCAAAAACATTCTGAAGAAAAAGGAATTAAAATCAGAAAAAAATGTTATTGCTCAAATACAATTCTCAATATCATTTCTTCTCTGTAATTAGAACAAATGAATGTTTTTAAAAGTAGCTAAAGTAAATATATTTTTAAAAAGTAATTGTTTAACAATGTATTGGAAGAGGAATCAAAAAAATTCTATACTGAAAACAAATTTTCACAAAATTCCACATTTCCTAGTGAATTTAATAATAGGACACCACAAACACGCCACTTTTCATTGACCCTCAAATAGGAAATAGTTTCATTTGGTTTTTTGGTTTTTTAAATTGACTTCTGAGCCCCTTTGGATTCTGTGATTTAAATATGTTTCCAAACTATTAAAGTTCTCACAGAAAAGAATATCTGTAATAAAATCTTCTTTGGTTCATTCATATTAAAGAAATATAATGCATGTTCCCCTATTAGCAGAAAAGAGTTAATCAGAATCTAAATTTGATCTTGCAGTGATTACATGCATAGTAACAAAACGGAATTTAGCTTAGTAGGATTGTTTTTAAGTTCCGACAGTGAAAGTGAGTTACATTGTTCTTGAATGAAGGAGTCCTAAGAGTATTAGAAGTTAATGAATTCATTTTAACATCATACGCATATTTTGAGAAAGTGTAACACATTTGAATCCTAGTACTTCAACAGTTAAGGAGCAATGGTACCATAGTGGTTATGAGTTGGCCTGTTAACCTCAAGGTTAACAGTTCGAAACTACCAGCTATTCCGTGGCAGAAAGATGAGGCTTTCTGCTCCCGTAAACATTTACGGCCTTGGAAGCCCTATATACAGCACATAACCAACCAACCAACCAACCAACTTTGACAGCTGTTAATCTCTTCCAAAATCTCAAGTTATTAGTGAGCACTTGATTTTGCATATGTTAGAAAACAACTTGCTTAAAATTTTGCATAGGACAAATGGATTCTCTTTAAGCATCAGTATTGTTATTTTAACTATATTCAGTCAGTAAATATTTATTGAGTATTGTGTTAGGACTTGAAGAAATAATTTGAATAAGAAATAATCCCTGCCTTGAGGAATACACAACCCCATTAGAGAGGCAGCTATGATACATGACTTGAATATATAGTAAGCATGATTACAGATCTACTAATGGACAAAATACTGAGAGAACTGGGTATAGAATAACTGGAGAAACAGTGATACTTTATAGAACAGGTGATTTCTGAGCTGTTCTTAAAGGATGGCCAGGATCCCTGGTGTGACACTGTAGGATCAGCACGGTACTGCAAATCATAAGGTCTGCAGTTCAAACCTATTAGCTGCTCATCAGAAACCCTTTTACAAGGTCAGAACTGACTCGACAGTACTAAACAACAACAACAGATTAACCTTAAACTGGAAGGAAAATGATACAAGAGGGCCCAAGATCATGAAACACCTGAAGTGTTTGAGAAGCACTATAAAAGCAAATTATATGGAAAATCAACATCACAACCAAGCCCATGTAATCATTTGGATTTCTAATTGTTATTTATTAAAATATGACCACACAACGGGGTATCAAAAAGTTTGTGAAAACGTAGAATCAAGAGATAATGGAACTTTTCTATAAACTTTTTGAAGTCCCCTCATATATAACCATTGTTGCTGTTGTTGAGTGCCACTGACCATTAAATAGTATTAAAATACGATCATTTAGTTAACCAACTAAATTCCCAAATGTACTCACTTATAATAGTGCTCCCACAGATTTCTGTATCTTCCTTGACCAGACATATCAAACACTGTAAAAGACAAGCTACAAAGAGCAAGCAAACAAATCAAATGATAAGCTACTAATTGAAAGAGCAAATTTTACTTAAAACTTTAAATTTTTTTGCAACAAAAGAAATCACTCTTGATATACATTTCAACTTATATTAATTATCAAGTAAAAACCTCAAAAGATGAATTCAGTGAACATAAACATGATTATGTAAAAAATAACATAAAATATATATTCTTTTTGCTAGTGAAGTTATCAGTTTGTCCAAACCTTAAATTCTGAAAAATAATCCAGAGGTGGTAGCACAAAATTCTATGTCAGTGACTACAGGGTTTGCTAACAACAAATTGCTTTTTCTAAGAATGAGTATTCTAAGATCTACTACGGTCATTTTTCACTCATTGCTTTTTTCTCATTCCTACCATTTTTATTTTGAGGAAAAAAAATTAAAATACAGAAAAGTACAAAGAGCTGTTTCCCCTCACCCAGAATGGACAATTATTTACATTTATTTATATTTCCTTACAATTTTTTTGTAAAGATTCATCATTTATCATTTTTTCAGTGTCAAATGATAGTTCCAATGAAGAAAAGAGATAATTCCTACCTTCCTGGAGCTTATATTATTGCGGGGGGGTGGGGAATTGACGATGAAAACATTTTGAGTATAAATTTTATATAGGGTTCTCTATATCTCTCCACACACAATGTGTATGATGGACTTCAGAAAGTTTGTGGAAAAATGGAATTAAAAGATAATGGAATTTTTCCACAAACAGAATTGTAAAATAAAATCAAAGCAGCCACTCAGAGCTTCTTAACCAAAGTATACTGTTATTGATGATATGGGATGCAAAGCTGATTCTGACTCAAGAGACCTAAGTAAGACAGCAGGGCTGCTCTATAGGGTTTTCTTGGCCATAATCTTTACAGAAGCAGATTACAAGGTCTTTCTCCCACAGGATAGCTGGTAGGTTATAAAGCCATTCTTTTTTAATCTTACCAGCTGAGTACTTAATCATTGGACCAACAGGCATCCTTAATCAAAGTATAAATGCAGTGAATTACCTGGATGATTTGAATTTTTCTATGTTGAATCCTATTGTTGGAACTATATCTTGAGATTGAGCCTTTAATAAAAACACAAATAAGTTTGAAAAACTGAAATTAATAAACATGAATTTTTCTCAGATTAAAGAAAAAAGAACACAATTTACATTTCTAAAATCTATGGATATAACAAGATTAAACACGATTGTCATTTTCACAATAAAATCAGTATGCAAATTCTTTACAGAATTTAAGCTGTACTAATTGTGAATCTATATGATGTTTATGTCTTAATTCACATTTTATGATCTGCTGTTAGCTAGGACTTAAAGAATTGGTTTAATAAGTCACCTTTAGTTCATATATAAGATTTTCTAATCTTTCAACATATACTTAATGAGTCTTTATTTGCTAGGGCTTGTCCTCATGTATAGATGGCAAACAATACAGACAAACCACCTGATCTCATGAAGCTTATAACTTAGAGGAGGTAAGCAGCAACAAACAACGAAAACAATGTGGGCAGTGATAATGCAATGAAAGGCTATTGGGGCCAGGAGGCAGCAGGGAATACTGTGGCTGGTAGAACGGCTCTGAAGACAGGTACTCAGGAAAGATATCTCTAAAGAAATGACGTTTGACCCAGTACTAAATGACAAGAAGGGGAAAAACTATGACATCTTGGCAAAGAACATTTCAGTGAAAATTTGGATATTACAAAAGGCCCTGAGGCAAGAAGGAACTTGGCACTCAGGAAAAGTAGAACGGCTGTATGTCTAGAGCGCAGTAAGGGAAAGATCAATATGTAATGAGGTAAGAAAGGTAGAACTTTGTAGGCCATGGCAGGGAATTCTGGATGGAGAAGAAATTGAAAGGGGCAACAACTTAACAGACCTGCTGTCAGTCCAAGGGCCATTAAAATGCATTATACCAATAAATTAACTCACCAAATGCCTCCTAATCCTTGCAGCATTAAAACTGCTCCTCCTTTTCAATAAAAATCCATCTGCTTACTGATCTGTAAACCCAAGAATTACTCTTGACTCTTCCCTTTTCCGCATTCTCTAAGCTTCTATTGGTTCTTAGTCCAGACTCTTATTTCTTACTTTGAATTACTAAAACTGTAAGCTAATTGCTAAAAGATTACACTACCTTGTGTAAGTTACTTAATTTTTCCAAGTCTTAGTGATGCATCTTGATCCTGTATGACAGAGTAGAACTGCCCCATATGGTTTACTAGGCTGGAGCAGATGACAGGGCTGCTCCCACAGAGTGGCAGGTGGGTTAGAACCTGTGACCTTACGGTTGGCAGCCTGGTGCTTTAATCACTGTGTTACCAGGGATTCTTAGTGCCAAATCCATGACAAATACTCAACAATGCTTGCTATTGTTATAGTTATGTTCTCACTGATTTTAGTTTTGTCCCCAACTTTCTCCATACTACTATGAGGATTTTCTACTTCTGGAAATTTTAAATTCAAATGGAAAGAAAGAAGCTGAAAAGCTCCTAAGATTAGTAACCTTTACACTAATGTGTTAGTGAAAAGCCCTCCCCTAACTTTTTCAGCCAGAGCTGCCCTGGCTCTGCCTTTTCCTTCCATCCTATGTGCCTCCCAAAGAGTCTTTCAAAATATTTGTTCCTTTTGTTTATGTTAGCAGAATTTGTTTCCTGCTACTAAGACTCTTGATAGTAAATTGGGGTTCCTTCATTCCATAACAAGGTTTGGAATAAAAACATTCCTAATGTTTTGTTGTCCCTCAAAACCCCACAAACAGTAATTTAAGAGTTTTATGAATCAATTATGCAATAAAACCATCAGATACACGGGGGCTGCAAAAAGTTCGTGGAAAAATGGAATTAAAAGATAACAGAATTTTTCCACGAACTTTTTGAAGCCTCCTTGTATATTTCTGGGAAAAACATACTGCAGGACAGCTAATTATTTATGATGGCCCTTCTAGCCATATCGTTCCATTCTGTGATGCAAATCCCAGGCTTACTCTATGCCTGTATAGTTATTAAAAGAGCTGTTAATGAGGCAGGATTAAGGTAGGACTTAAGGATTAGGGCTAGACTGCAGTATAAATTGGAATCTCAAGGTCAGCAGTCCAAGACACCAGCTGCTCCTTGAAAACCTTATACAGGTTTGAGTTGAAACTGACTTGACAGCACTTAACAACAACAACAAGGATTAAGGTGATGCCATAGAATAAGGACTCGACCTCAAATTCAGTTTGAACTGTAAGGCTGGTGGTTCAAACTCACCAGCCGCTCCTCAGAAAACCTATACAAGGTTGCTATGAGTTGGAACCGACTTGAAGGCACACAACAACAACAAGGAGTAAGGATTAAAGTAAAACTAAGGAGTAAGGTCCTGGTGTGGCACTGTGGGCTAATGTGTCAGACTGCAAAGTCATTTAAACTGCAAGGTTGGTGGTTCAAGCTCACCAGCTGCTCCTTGGAAACCCTATACAAGGTTGCTATGGGTCAGAATCAACTCAAAAGCACTTAACAACAACAAGGAGTAAGGTGGGGCTAAGGGGTAAGGTTTAAGGGGGAATCTAATGACTGGATTCTACCACTAGTCTTTCAGTTTGTCTGCTGTGGTGGCTTGTGAGTTGCTATGATTCTGGAAGCTATGCCACCAGTATTTTAAATACCAGCAGTGTCACCCATGGTACATAGGTTTCAGATGAGCTTCCAGATGAAGATAGACTAGGAAGAAGGAGTAACGAACTACTTCTGAATATTTAGTCACTGAAAACCTTATGAATAGCAGAGAAACAATGTCAGATATATTGCCATAAAATGATCCCCTCAGGTTGGAAGGCACTCAAAATGCAACTTGGGAAGAGCTGCCTGCTCAACGTAGAGATGACCATGATGACATGAATGGAGTAAAGCCCATGGGAGAAAAGCCCACAGGACCTTCATTTGCTGATGAAGCACAACACAAAGTAAAGAGAAACAGCTATAAACATCCATTAATAATCAGAACATGGAATGTACGAATTATGAATCTAGGAAAATTAGAAATTGTCAAAAATGAAATGGAACTCATACGCATTGATATCTTAGGTATTAGTGAGCTGAAATGGACTGGTGTTGGCTGTTTTGAATCTGACAACCACAAGATTTACTATGCCTGGAATGACAAACTTAAGAGGCATGGTGTTGCACTCATTGTCAAAAAGAACATATCTAGATCAGTTATGAGGCACAAGGTTTGTGAGCTAGTGTTCCTATACTCAGTGGGATATATTTACCTCTAATGAAAAACAAAACCAAGTCTCCTACATTGAATTTCCATGATTTTATTGAGAAATAAACATATTTGGTCATTTTCTAAAATGGATATGGAATGGTACAAAACAAACAAGGAGGGTAGAAATTACTACCTAAGAGACAGTCCAGCAACAAGAAGAGAACAAGATTTCACAGACAAGCCCTATTTGGAACAAGATTTCAGAAAGATACCTTATTTGGTTAATTAATTAAGCCTACTAAAAATGATATATATCTTTGGTGCCATCAGTTACCCTATCTTGTTAGATATGATGCTACATAAGATGTGACCAGAAAAATCTTGTTATCACCTAGGTCAGAAGGCAGTCTCCAACACAGAGTGGGCATATTTCACCTGTTTCTTTTTCCTTACCTTGTGAAGAGAATACTATTTAAATGATACGCCTAGCTTTTCCACAGCCCTTTGCCTCCTCCCTCCATCTGCTGCTTTAGTCCTCTATGGAGTCCTGGTGTGGTGTTGTAGGATAAGTACTGAACTGCTAACTACAAGGTCAATGGTTCAAACCCACCAGCCACTCCTTAGTCACACCATACAGGGTCACTATGAGTTGTAACTGATTTGACAGGACTTAACAACCACAACATGGAAAAAAAGATTTGTCTGACTGCTCAGTCAGTGAGATGGAACTGAGCATATGTGGCTCTGCCCCTCCTCCTCTTTTGAGAGCCAGATGCTCATTGGAGGCCTGCATTTTCATCTGCCTCAGCCACACAGTAAGGCTAGTAGAGTAGGCTGTGTCCCCAAGGAGAAAAACATGAAATTTGTGGAAATTAATCTCAATTCAGGAGAGTGTAAGAAAATTCTCTGACCAGATCTAAACTAAACACTTCAATTCTGCCTTTTTAAGAATCACACATATTTAGTATCTGTCTAACTTCAGTTTGATGTTTCAGTTAATTCCCGACTCACCTGGGGAGCTCGCTAAAACATTTAAATTACCTTTCAAATCTATTTTCAGCTTCTTATCCCAGCTGCCTCAAACTAAGTCTGCCTGAAAATACACAAGTAATTAGGTGTTTTTGCAAGGCAAATTTCTGTCAATGTTGTTATTGTTGTTAAGTGCCATCAAGTCCATTCCGGCCCATAGTGAGCCTATATAGGGTTTATGAGGAGTGGCTGGTGAGCTTGAATTGCTTGACCTTGTTGTTCAATCGGATTTTGTAGTCCAGTGCATTAACCCACAGCGTCACACCAGGGTGCAAAAAATGACATGAAGATAGAAAAGAATGGCATTTTTCTGTAATCCCAAAGCAATCTCCACCTGAACAAAAATAAAACAAGCTGTCCCAAAAGAAACTTAAAATTCTATTTAAAGGCATTGTTGTTGTTGTTGTTGTTGTCAAGTGCCATCGAGTCAAAACTGACTCATAGCGACCCCCTGCACAGCAGAACGAAACAATGTCCGATTCTGGGCCAACCTCACTACCGCTGCCACACTTGACGCCATCAATGATACCATCTGGCCAATCCATCTCGTTGGGGGTCTTCATCTTTTTCTCTGACCCTCCACCTTACCCAGCATGATATCCTTCTCCAGCGACTGTTCTCTCCGGACAATGTGTCCAAAGTAGGAGAGACGAAGCTTAGCCATCTTGGACTCCAAGGAGCACTCTGGTTGTA